GGCAGAGTCTAACTGGATACCCAGAAAAGTGATAACCGTGTCTGGCCCTTCTGTTTTCTTTGGGGAGATGGGTACACCTAGTTGCTCAAACAGCTTAGTGGTAGCTTTGAGGCTAGTGGGAGGTGCAGTATTCTCCTTGACCAGTAGGAAATTGTCCAAGTAATGTAATACTGTAGGGCATCCGGCTATGTTCAATAGTAACCAGCATAGTGCATCGGCAAATGTGTCGAAAATAGCTGGGCTACTTTTGGACCCAAAAGTTAACCGGGAGAAAAAATAGTAGTTCTCGGACCACTTGATGCCATGCAGGTGCCACAGTGTGGGGTGGATAGGGAGTAATTTGAAGGCGCTAGTAATGTCGGTCTTACTGAGCCAGGCTCCCACCCCTGCTTGTATGATGGCTGTAATGGCGTGATCTATGGTGGTGTATTGCAGAGAGAATTCCTCAGAGGGAATGAGGGAATTAAGACTGGGGTTGGCCGATGAGTGGGGAGCCGATAAGTCAATGATGAGTCTCTGTTTTTGGGAAGATTTCCCTGTGACAATACCAATAGGGTTGGTGCGCCATTCTGTGAATGGGGGAGTTCTAAAAGGCCCCAATACAAAGCCCTCCTCCACTTCTTGGTTTATGAGGGTGTCAACCACTGTGGGGTTGTGTTGGGCGGATTGTAGGTTTGGGCATTCCAGAGTGCCAGCTGGTATGTGTAGGATACCTGTGTGGAAGCCTTCTGTTAAACCAGAAATAAGAAAATCTACCAGGTGTCTAGATGGGTGCTGAGACATCAATGCTGTGAATACTGGCATATTAATGGACGTAAGGTAAGGCTTAGAATACATTTTATTTGGACACATGGTCTTAGCATGTGCCCTAAAACATTTTGAACAGACATGCAATAGTCTACATCCACTGTAATTACAAGACCCAACATTGAAATTATTACATATCTGGGACTTGCCCAGAAACTTGATTGGGCGTCCCAATTTGTCTTTGGATAGTTTCCCTGGATCCCCAGAGGAACTAGTTCCTTGTGTGGAGGCATGTCCGTCTGCCGTGTTGGGACAAAAATTAGTAGTATGGGCTGTGGAGGAGCAGTATGCACAAGCTGGTGTTCTTAGACCTGCAAAGTGTCTGCAGAATAAGACGGTATCAATCCTTCCCCAGTTGGACCGTGTACCGTACTGGGAGAAGGCTCCAGCCACTTTTGCAGAAAAAGACCTATGGTAGTCATAGAATGCTGAACCACCATATTTGCTGCCCAGGTCTACCAGCTTGTGCATATAGAGATCAAACTCCTCTCTTCTGTTGGGATAAACCGCACAGACGACATCCCTGTAAATACCAAACGCTAGTACAAATTCAGGGATAGTCAGTTTCCTGTTCAGGCGGGCATCCCTAGATCTGACAATAACAGAAACATCATCATAAGCATACGTCTTATGTTCCACAATGTCCTGGGAGGCAATCAACAGGGAAGCCAGGTTGACGTCTTTACCTTCCAGGATATCCCTTTTGATATGCTCAGGTATCATGTGGGCCGGGCTAACTTCCTGGTCATCCAGGGGGCTGGCTGGAGCGACTAATGGCAAGGCTGGTGTTTGTACCGCAGCCGCGGGTGGCCCTGCTAGAGTGAGGGCCGTGGTGACCGACTCAAGTTTCTCCAGCCTGGAGTTGACCTTGCCCATGGATGCCATGAGTGAGGATAACATGGCATGTATGTCCCCTGGGTTGGACTGGCTAGATCCTTCCCCGGCTTCCATGTTATTGGTTGATGTGCGTAGCAGTTTGAAAAGTTCTGCCTTCCTTGCTGTAGCGGGGTAGGGGATTTGTCGTCTCCTTAATTCCGTGGTTATGCGCGGGATTGTCCAGGATCTAATTGATGCTGGACTAGCTAGCTCTCCTCCTTGTGTGGGAGTGACAGCTCTAGCCGGGGTGCTAGGCAGGGAGAAATCCTCTACCCCTTCCTGAGACATACTATAAATAAAACAATAATTAGTATATAGAACCACCAAATTGTACTGGCAGGCTAGCTAGGCCGGATGGCGAAAGTATTATGCTTGTTTGGTGACAGGTGAGGCCCTACTAATTGCCAAGCGGCTTGAGAGGCTCTATCTGTGCGTTGGCGCGAGGGGTTATTGAGGCCACTTGACGTAGTGGCAGGAGTTTTAGGCCCCTCGGTGACTGTACGACAGAAAACAGGGGAAGGGAGTGACAGGTGAGGCCCTCTCTTTGCAACATGCGAGGCGGCTAGCTAACGTGTGGCCCGATGGGTGTTTGCCTCCGAAACGTTTGAGGCGGGGTGTTGGCCTCGCGGGACCACTAACTAATGGCGACAGCCAAGATGGGGTAAATACCTATTGGGAATCCTGTGACCCTATTGCCAGTACTCTAAACTAGGGGGATGAAATGAAATGTATGGTAGAATACCATATGAGCAGGTGTACGTACCTGGTAGTATGATAAATCACAGGAATAAACCGTGTGGAGCAATTATATAAGCTCGACAGCCTAAAAATGGGTAAAAGAGAGTAGTATGATGAGTGTGGGGTGTAAAAAGAACCAGACTTATAGTCTGTAGCAGCAATGTATAAAATTATGTTGTGACCATGGGAATAGCTATGAGTGGCTCAGAAATGTTTGCATGCTTGAATAAGACATCTGAGGGAGGCCGTGGCCTATGTACAAACAATCTATGTGTTACGTGATAATGGTGTGTAAAGGAAAACATGAAACGTAGGTTATATACATATGTATATGACTGTGTAGGGGACGTATGATTGGTTGGATCAGTACGTGTGATTCAACCCGAGTATGCATGCAAAAGGATTTAAGCCTTATGTGTCATCGCCATGACAGAGAAATGAGGCCTGTAATGTAGGCTGAGTAAATTGAAATGAAATGGATAGTTATAAAACTCCTGGCGTGGGAGTTCAATGATCTGTACCGAAATGTAACTGGTTTTATAGAAAGGGACATGGATGAGGTCATGGCCTAATTAACACAGCGTTATGTATGATATGTAGCAGAAAGACCAAAGGCAGGGATACCCCAAAATGATTTAACATGATATAAAGTGATGTATATCTATATGATATGCATGTATAGCAAAGACGTATCAACCCGAGAATTATTGCTTAAATGAACCTATCCTTGTATATGTTGTATTAATAACCAAGAAATGAGGCTTGTAACATAGGCTGAGTCCATTCGTATAAATGGATAAGTAATGCAGACCCCTGAAAGCGTGGGAGTCAAATGGTATACACAGAGAAGTGGACTTGATTTGTGGACGTAATACAATACTGACAATTGTTAAAAGTAATCAACAATAATCTATTTAAGTAAGCAATACTTTAACCGAATGTTATATACACATGAAATGGTGAATATAATTCATGAAAGGATTATACGTGAAACACACAGAACAGCCGAAAGCAAATGTGAGGGGAACACAGAAGTTAGAATAGTTTAACCGTATGATTTATGCGAACCAAAGCGTGTATGAGCGTATGTAAAATTTGCCGAACGGCAAAACAACCGAATGAACATTCGTTTAAATAACATGAATAGGATATGCGAAATGACTATTGAACGATTTAAAACATGTTCAGCCGAATGACCGTACGAATGAAAAGCCCGCGAATGGCTTGAAACATTCGTGTCATAACCAGGGAAAAGCCGTAAAGCGAGGACCCGTGCTGTACCGTACGCCGTGGGAACCAGTCCTGGCGTGACAGGAAGGTCTGACTTACGGTTTAGGAGTCCCTGGGACGCGATCTACGACGGAGAACGGAGTCAGAAGAAGCTGGACGGGCGGAAAGGCCTGAACAGGATTCCTGGACACAGCTTAACGTGGTGAAACCTCCTGGATACTGAAACCAAGATGGCGTCTGAGAGAACCCGGAAGTGGATCCTCATTCAACGCTGACCTCGAACGGTAAGGAGCCAGGCAAGGGGAGTGCCTTAAGTAGGCTAGGGGTAGAAAACCAGCACCTCCCACAAATGCAGGCAAATTGCCTTAATACATATATATATATATATATATATATTTAGTCATTATTTTGTAAGTGTCACTCATTCTTCTTATGTATATTTGCCTTAAGTATTTTTACAATCGTCATAAGTAAGTCTTAAGGTGTAAAAACTTTGCCTTTATAATTGTTTCTTATAATAGTTTTTTGATCTCTTTTAAAACTAAAACAAATTAATTGTGAATGTTTTATTTTTAAAGATTCCATATAAGCTTTTTTAAATATATTTATTACATTTTATGCATACATTAAATGTCATCGGAAATTTATTTTTCGAGGCATAATTTATTTCAATTATACTACTATATGAATGCACAATATTAATATATGCCTCTAACAAGATATCTTACTAAAATTACGTTTTATATTCCCACTTACCTAAATATCATTACTGAGAATACGAGACTTTAACAAAGATTGTAAAAATTTATCGAAACCGGAAGTGATGCACCGCAATGCACGAGGAGTGCATTGTGGGGTTTGCAGTCACGATCGCAACACGGAAGTGCACTACAAGAACATTAAGTACACAGCACTTTCACCCTCTTTATTAAAGGAAGCAACAACATTCCCTAGACAGCCCTCTAGATTGGAGACACCGGAGAAGCCAGCAAATGATTATATATTGATTGCACCCAGATTGCTGAAATCTTGAGGGGTGAGTCATTTATACAATTTTGTTAGCGCTGCACTCACACTTATTGTTTGGGAGGTGGGGTATATCACCTAGGCAAAAAGTTTAAGTTTTGTTTTTGTTTCTCAGATTTTGTGGATTTTTGGGATATCCACAGAGTGTTATACAGCTGCTACAAACATAACTTATCTGTATTTTCTATCTATTAAGTGCCCTTTTTTCACACCATAAGTTTATACCTGTTTGTGTTTACAATTCTAAATTCACACTCTCATCTACTTACATGTAACCACACACTTCTCACTGCTAGACACAGCCACAAACATCATTCACAGCTACCCACACCGAGGGGCACAGTAATACACATTGGTCGCAGCTACACGCTGCCACACAACAACAACAAAAACTGTACAACTAAATGACATAGACTGTCACCCCACATGCAGCCAGACATACACAGCAACAGCACACACACAGCCAGCCAAACACAACACATGCACATCACACAAAGCTAGAACACTTAAAGCCATACTACATATAAAACACATAGAGTAAGCTCAAACACACATGAAGTCACCCGTAGAGACACAACATATACATAACACTCAGTTACAACACTTAGAGCCACTCTACATCTAAACAATATACACAATCACCCCACACACACAATATCACCCCACATATGCAGCTTTTTAAAGGAGCACTCCAAGAACACTAAACAGTACCACTACAGTATCTATGGTGCCAGCATTACCCTGGTGTCCTCCAAGATTATAATATACAAACGTCCATTGACACCTCTAATGCTATTAGAAGATCCTGCAATTGAGGTAGGCCTGGCCTTGCTTAGCTGACACAGTCATCCAATGAGCCGGACTTAGCTGAACAATGCTGACAGAAGCTCTTTGCAGGCACCCAGCAGAATCCAGGTAAATTGTGAGACAATTCTTTAATGATTTGGCTACTTACTCTGGAAGGAGCACTCCTGGAACCACAACCACTACATGGTGCTTGGATTGTTCCTTTAAAAATATTCAGCTTATATAAATTTATGTAATAACAAAATGAAAGAATTCCCTGGTGCATACCCTAATGAAATATGGTGCATTCCCTAACAAAATGTGCTACACATGCCTATGGTCATAAATAATGGAATGATTATATGTCATTTAAATGACTGGTCTAAGCTGCAGCAATTTTATCAGGAATACATCTGTACATAGTAGTTTTTTTTCTTTCTTTTTTTTCTTGGTGTGTGTGTATCTCCTTTGCTGTCTGCTTCTACACTTTTTCTAAAATGTATAAATAAGCAATACGTTTACAAATTACAACTCTTCAAATAACCACATTGTTAAATATTATTAGCATAGATTAAAAATATTTAGATTAAATTTATAGCCACAAAACTCTTTGACCTAACAGCAAAATGTATGTTTAACATGTTTGTAAATTATATTTATGGAAAATGGTGACGCGTTTTGAGCTATATGAATTAAAAAATAAGTCAATGACCAGCAGTAGGTACACAAAGTACACCAGTGTTTTTATTACATTTTGCAAGCACTTTGTTCTACATTTCAAAAACGCCACCATGAAGCTGTTGGCACAATTATGTACAAAACAGATTAATTATAATGCCTGCTACAAAGCATTCTTTGTGAAAATACAAACTCTAATACCAGAGGAAAGCCAAAAGCATTAACATTATTACACTGATCCATTGGACATTTGTTTAAAAATCACAAACTGAGACACAAAACTGAAACACTACAATATAGAATTTGAAAGAGTTTTAGAAGAATATTGTTTGAAAACATTTTTAATACTGCACATATCGGAGAACCGTTGATAGACTAAGAGGAAATAAAATGATATATCTAATGCTATCTAATGTTTAAGCATGCAACAAACAACTATAGTATTAGAATTGTTAGAGTAAAGAATCTGTTTACAAAAACACCTCATAATGAATGAGCAATATTACAAAAAATATGTTTTCTTGGGGAAAATTCATCTAAAATCATTGACTTCATTATAAAAGGAAGTTCATTGAACATGCTATATCTGTTAAAATGGCAGCGATATGAACCTGGTTTACTGTATACTAAACTACCTCCACCGAACTCTCCAAAACGTATTACATTTTTATTCATCAAAAAAGTGTTCTCTAAATTCATCCAGTAGTGCACCCAACAAAGTGATCTTTACAGCAGGAAAAACACAGTCTTGGAAACATAAACCAACCTCTACATTGCAGATGTTGAACACAGGTATACTATAATGCAACATTCTACAACACAGTATCTTTTACACCTTATTCTATATCATCATCAATGGCATCATCAACACATACAGTGAACCCTACCTCTTAACTTCAGCATTTACAAACTCAGATGCAAAAGTTGGTGCTGAAGAGACAGCTAAACCATTAGAAACTTGTTATGAAATGACGTTGCTTCAATGTACCTTTAAACTGGAGTAGTAAGGATGCATATTAAAACCTTCCCCCGATTTCTATTTCATCATTTAATGAGGCCTAATTCATCGGAACTAATGTAATTATGAGCAGAACCACTACATTTGATAGAATATTGATGAATTAACCCCAAGAGCATTTTATACGAGCAATGCACTTACATGGAAAATGAATCACACATGATCATTAAAGTGTACAAAACAATCTAGGGTTCTTATCACTGACAAAAATGTCAGAAATTTGAAATTTAAAAGACACTTGATAGCATTCATATAAAGCATTCTGGAGGAGGTAAGACAGATGAAAACACCAAACATTTGGTCCAATTAACAAAGTTATGCTGAAACATTATAATATAGGTGATGAGTAGTGCTCTGTCTCAGGAGATTGACAGGTTATTCACATGTATGATGTAGAAAATAATGTATAATGCAATCTCTGTATGTCAAAGGGCCATTGTCTGGGGTGTGACTCAAATCTGATCAAACAAAAATGTTCCAAATACTTTGAGTCAGATGTCCTTTCCTCTCTAGAAGAAACTTATAAATAAATGTTAAACAAATTGTGTTGTTTACTAGAATTACATTTACTCTACAATACTATATATATATATATATATATATATATATATATATATATATATATATATATAAAGCTAACATCAAATCATAGTTGATCAACTACATACTAATTTTAACTATTTGTTGGGTGAACATCGATTACAGTTGATATAAGGGTAATAATAAACTCCATTTTAAATGGGGAGGATCCATGCAGTTGCATCACAGCATGCATGCTCACAACTTTATAAACAGTTGACTTGGTCACTGAAGTTGGCAGAATGTGAATATGGAAGTGTTAGTAGCATACAATGATACTAATACATTAACACCGATAAAAAAAAGCACCTTGTAACCTGCCAAACAAAAAGTGGACTTAGGATTACTCATAGGGACCCAAAAACAATACCAAGATACCCATGCATGAGCTTGCACTGTAATTAGTATATTGTACATGCCTTTCTGTACAACTATCCCTTTGAAGTTTACCTGTAGGTAAAAGTAGATTTTGAAACTCAAAACTAAAAAGTATAAAAAGCTTTCTCTTTCAAAAACATAGGAAACGATGAAAAATGTTTTATGCAAAACACATTTAAAGTGGTGTTAAAAAAAAAAAAGGAAAAATAAAAATCTGTATTTAACAGTTATTTTTCTTCATCTAAGAAACCAGTCACGTTATGACAATTTAGGAAAGACTATAAGGGTGCTCCATGTTATGACATCATCACAAGGACCAATGTGAAGAAGCCAAGTGCTGTCAACCAAGGTTATGTAGATAGGTGATATACATCGCACCCTGTCTTGTAGGAAAAGCACTTAATTTTCATTTTACAATGGAAGGGAGGCTGTTATACAACAAAGAACTGAAATGTTACAATGATGTAGAAGTTTTGTTTTATGTGTAAGCATTGAGCCGCTCTTTTGAGCGGGTAGAATGAATGTCATGAAGCTCCTGTTCTTCCTTGGACTTTATGTCTTCATACTTCTGCATTCGGCATGCATCTTTCACATAGGCCCAGTTAGCTGACAAAACCATTAGATAGTGAACCTATGGACAAATAAAGAACATAAAAGGTGATATAATAAATAATAAGTAATAAAATAATAAAAACAAAGACAAAACATTAAGTTATTTACCAACCCAAGGAAGCAACTATTTAGTTATTGTGTCTTGGGTTCAAAGATTCCTGCAATAATAATGCACTATATACCATTTGTGCCAGCAAGAGCAGTTTACCTGGCTAATTCATTTATCACAAAAAACTGATGCTCTACTCTGTCAGTTGAGGCCAAAACGAATGGTCCTGGCACAGCAACCATTTTGTGTGCAGCACTCAAAATGCACACTGCACATAGCCCTTTAAATGACAGAAGATCAGGCAGAGACCTATGATGTCATCAGTTACATTCCCACAATGTAATAGAGACCTGCAGTAAAAACTCTTAATGGTTCTCTTTGTAAGCCCCCAGGCTTATTCACACAAGCGAGAACTGTTGCAAAGTGCATTAAAAGTGAAATTCTAATTTAAAAGGTTACCTTTACAATTTGAAGTGGTCATGGTGGTCAATTATAGCTTTATTTCATTTTTTTTTTTATCTTTGACTGGGGGGACCACGATATGAAGGGTCACTGTAGCCAAAACCAATGTTTTCCTAATTGGTGTTTAGTTGGAGTATCACTTTAATGTTTAATCACTGTCAATTTTGGATGCATTTTGAATTCCTTACAGTTCTGTATTATACCTGGAAACCGGTCCCCCATAAATCATAAACTGGCACATTTTTTTAAATTTCCATGGAAGAATGCTAAGTATTGAGGAGGGGGAGGTCCTTTGTAACAGTATTCCCATGCTCTGAATGCAAAGAACGCAATAATTGATTGTACATTTCAGCGCAGTATTTTTTTAATTTCTATTATTGTTTGTATTATAGCAAAGTTCATAGATATGTTGTATCTAAATGCTCGGGTACTCACA